TAGAGAGCAGAAATCGAAGAAATGGTATCCAAAATATATAAAATAAAGTTAAATCTTACAACAACCAGAATAACACATACATTAAAGTTTTCTAATAGAAAATAACCTAATTAGAAATAAATAAATAAGAAAAAATCAAAAATGAAAGGAATTGGGCTAAATAAGTAACAGGAAGGAAGTATTTGTCATGTTTGCGATCGTGCAATCTTCCAAATTATGTTGGATCGTGGAATTCCCGCAATCCCGTGAGAGCCCTCGCAACAACACTAGATCCCCATCAACCATAGTTGCCCAACCATTGGTGCTCAGTTGTTGTTATCATTCGTCCAACGCAACTGTCACTAAATTGCTACTGCCACCATTGGAGCATCATCGCCTTCCCACCCCATTAGACTAATATTATCCAGTCACAACAGCTTGAGCACCCATTACTCTTGGTCCCCTCACATATATCTTCCACTGGTCTATAGCATGCTAAGCCAATGATCTACACTTAAAAATCTATCTTCTCCTATTTCAAGGGACATGCGAAGTTTTGTAACATACACCTATATAGTACAATTATCTCAATTGAGCTGGCCACATTGTTTTTTCCTTTTCAATTTTTCCACAAAAATGAGTGACTTCCGTGATTTTTTTTTCATCTATTTGTTCATATGATTTTAATGAAAAAAGAACTTGCTAAACTCTCTTACTCTATGGCTACAATTTTCTTACAAGCGACAATACATATGTATATGCATAAAATGAATTTATGTTTATATCTATGTATGTAGGTGTGTGTGTCTGCATTAGAAAATAAAATTAATATATGAAAAGAAATTTATAGCATATGCATGTGTTGACACTCGCTCATAAATTTCCATTGCTCATGTACCAGTTAAATTTTCTTTTTATCTAGTACGAGAATAGTTTTTGGTCTTTCACATGCAGTAACTTAGCAAAGCAATGGATATTATTTCAGTATTTTCGATGCTTTAAATGTATTAGCATAGTATATTTTGCAAGATGAGTGACAATTAAGTATTTCTTATACATATGAGATGCATTGAAAGGGAGTTGTGCAACACTACGACAGTTGTCTACCATTGTCATTGCACTTCACCGCTTGACAGAGTTGGATCGTGAAACAGGCATTGAGGTCAACCCTACCTATTCAATTTAACCATTCATTGGCCACCATACCTATTGGGTAAGGTATAAATGCTAATTATCAGGTTTTACTCATTCATAAGATTGCAAGTCTCACTAATGAGCCTACTTTAAGATTTAAACCAACTGAATTAATCAAATTGTGTATATATATATATATATATATATATATATATATTATGTGCATACAATAATCATTTATTCAAACAAAATTAAACAATATCAGCGCCGTCGGCAGCCGCAGCGAGATCTATTAGGGTTTCACACAATGGCGATTCTCGGCAGTGATTCCTCGATTTCTCACTTTCTCTCTGTCATCTCCCGAGACAATGCTTTCACGCTCTCGCAGACGTCCTCCTGTAGACGACGCTCGTCTTTGTACTCGACGACGTCTCACCTGCTCTCGACGACGCTCGCTTCTCCCCCGCAATCGACAGTTCTCGACGCTCGCGTCTCTCACCCGTAGTCGATGGCTCGCATCTCTACTAACTTCGAAGTTTGCCCGCCTATTTCCAGCAGCTCGCCTAGCTGCTCTTGAGATGGCATCGACATTCCATTTCTATGCCACTACACTTGTCGACGACTTTCTTATTCCTACTCGTGCTTCTCTTTTAGATTCAGAGACTGGTTTTCGTATAGGTAAATCCTGCAATTTCCCACAATCATTTCACGAGGCTCTTGATGGTGGTGGCGATCACACCTTCATTAAAAAACTAAGAAAAAAAATGAGAAGTCTGATCTTATTCTCACAGAGGTTGAAACCAGCACTCTTGCATCCTCGTGGTGTTTTGCTCTAGTGAAATAATTTTTTTATGGTCAGCCAAAACTTGAGATCATTCAAAAAGAATTTAATGTTATGAAGCTATTGGGCAGTTGGAATATTGGTTTAATTGACGATCGACACATACTGATTCAGTTGTCTCACGACGCCGATTACACTCGTATTTTTTCTCAAAAAGTTATAAAAAACGACAACTGTTATATGAAAATTATGAAGTGGACTATTGGTTTTGATCAAAAAGAGAAATCCCCATTTCATTTTGGATAAAGTTTCTGATGTTAAACTTACATTTGTTCAATTTGAAAATTTTTTACTCCTTAGCAACTGCTTACGGTAAGCTTCTCAAAGTTAATAGTCCTACGCTTGCTGCCACCAGACCCTTTGTGGCTTGTGTGTTAGTTGAAAGGGATATCACTCAACCAGCTCCGAATGAGATATGGATAAGAAACACTCACAACGGGTATTGGCAAAATGTTGAAATAGAATCACACTCACCTTATTGCTCTCATTGCAGTATGTTTGGCCACAACTCTACTATTTGTTATGTTTGCATCCTCATCTAAGGCGGATATCGTTAAAGATCAGCCACATATCATCCTTGTTGAGAAGATGCAACCTGATCGTCTTTCTAACACTGCAGTTCCTGACGAACAACAACATACTACAGCTACAGATCCAGTTGTGCTTATACCACCCACTGCTATTGAATAAATCTCACTTATATGTCAAGACACACGAGAGTGTTCCTTTGATCCAATAACAGATCAGCAGGTACAACATGTAGTTGTTTCTAATGTTCAACAACTTGCGCATCTCCAGCACAATTTAGACCAATTTCAAGTGAGCCTATCTTCGGATTATGAATGGCAGGTCTACTCCAGGAGGAAGAAGAAAAATAGAGGCCGACTCCAGCTCGGGAACATTTTGGATGATATATTGGTTACTACTGGCAATGGCAATCATCTTACCAACTTATTAGCTTGCTCATTCCCTAGAACTAGAGGCAGGGGCAAGACCAAATTGGATCGCTCTCTAGCAACCTGATATTTTGTATTTCAGCACTTTTAGGTTTTTTCTTTAAGTCTTTAATGTATTTTTCTGTATTTTTTAGTTTTGGAACTATTTGTGGTTTTTGTGTGGGCAGAGTGTCATGATTGGGCCCTCCCACACATTGTATTTGTATCTTTATTTCTAGTTAATATAATATATACAACCCGATCTTCTTCCCAACACCGCAGTTCCTGAAGAAGAACAACATACTACAGCTACAAATTTAGTTGTGTTTATACCACCCACTGTTATTGAAGAAAACTCACTCACATGCCAAGACAAACGAAAGTGCTCCTTTGATCCAAGAGCAGATCAATTGGTACAACATGTCGTTGCTTCTAATGTTCAACAATCTGCACATCTGCAGCACACTTTAGACCAAGATCAGGTGAGCCAATCTTCAAAAGAGGAATGACAGGTCTATTCCAGGAGGAAGAAGAAGAATGGAGGCCGACTCCAGCTGGGGAACATATTGGATGATACATTGGTAACTACTGGCAATGGCAATCATCTTACCAACTTATTAACTTGCTCCTTTCCTAGAACCAGAGGCAGAGGCAAAACCAAATTGGGGTGTTCTCTAGTCACCTGATACTTTGTATTTCAACATTTTTAGGCTTTTTATTTATGTCTCTACTGTATTTTCTAGTTTTGGAACCACTTATGGTTTTGGAGTGGACAGTGTGAGGTGCCATGTTTGGGCCCTTCAAGATATTGTATATGTATCTTTCTTTCAGTTAATATATTAGCCTTTTTGGGCTTAAAAAAAGAATATATATATATATATATATAGAAAACTACAGAATGACTAATACAGACCTTGCTTAAAGTCTTGTGAAAACAGGGCTGCAAGGATGAGACCTTTTTATGAATTCCGCCTCATCTGATACATAGAATATAAAACTTTTTATTCACTAGAGAGTCCACACTCGAGTGCTTCCATCTGAAACGTGAAGCTGTGGAGTTTCATGATCATCACTATACACGCAAATTGGAGTGAGGTAAGGAGTTGGATATCCCCCAATAGCAGATCAAATTTCTTTTTTAGTTTCAGGTTATGGGCACAAATTAATTACCCTTCATGCACATAATTGCTTGCACGTTGATTGTGACCTATAAGAGTTCAGAGGTATGATATGACTATCAATTGTCTATGAGTTTTGATTTGAAAAAAAGAAGTGTCTAAGATAGATGAGGTATAGTTTGGCTTGATTTTATTTTTATTAGTGGGTGATTAACTATGATAGGTTGACAAACTTTTTATATGATGTATTTGTGTGTGTGTGTGTGTGTGTGATATGTTTTCTTTTTTTTTTCATTGAAATCTCCAGTTAGCTACCCCTGATGAGCTTTAATATCATTCTCTCTTTAAAATATTTGCACTTCAAAAAAATTTAAAATAAACTCATCCACATCAATCAAAACTTTTCACGAGTTTTTCATCACATAGAAAGGGCTTGAATGAAGCGGATGGCCTTTTCTAAGTGTTCATACATTAGCATGATATTTCAATGATTTAGCTTCAAAATTAAACCATTCTGACTTTCGATGACAATCAGATAGCCATTTCACAGTTTTTTCATAATAAGGGGCGCTTGTGTTAATAAAAACCAAAAATGCCGCCTTTCATAATACAACTACGGGTGGTAGGCAATTGTCCCGTCATCCGCAATAGGACTGGTTGAGTCAATAAGAGAGAGCAGTACGGTGAGCCTTTAATTATAATATCAAGAATTCAAAAAAAAAAAATGCAATATCTATATCAAACGCATGGAGGAAGGTATCTGATCACATCAGTAGACATAAGACTTGACTTGTTGATGTGGACCGCCAACAAAAAATCATAAGCTTCATCATTTAAAGATCTTTCCTTCTTTGATAACACTTTGTACAGAAGAAAAGTGCAAAATCACGTTTGAGAGCACATCATAAAAGTTCCCTAGTTTTGTAAGACTCTGAATGTTGGCAAAACTAAGTATGGTGAGGAAAGGATGATTCAGATGAGCTTAAAAAATACCTGCAGGCATGGTAAACGACCAAAACGAAGCGGCTCTACACCTCTCCAAAACTCCTCACTGTCCACTGAAAGTAATGCAATATCACACTCAACACCTCTGGCCAAAACCTGTTAATCAGATAGCTGAGAAAGTCAATTAGCAAAGATATATTAAACATCCTCTTGCACTATAAAAGATCCTTTTGGCTGAATATACTAGCCGTGATAATAGAAAAAAATCAAACTTGCACCAAATATAATTTTTGAGTCAACAAGAAAACCAATATTTTATGCAATGTAATGTCACCAAAATCAGACAAAAATATCTATTTGAATGATAAACGCTAAGCAAATAACTCCAGCTAATTGAGCAAAATCTTATTCATTAATTCAAAGTAGAGAGGATTGGAACTGTTCAAACTTTCTTTACCAGATAAAATGAGACAATAATAGAATGTTTACTTGATCCTATAAATGAAACAATAAGCTTCTATGTTAGAGGCAGTCATATTATGCATTTATATGCCTGCCAATTTCAAACATCAATAAATTGTGAATTGCATTAAATAAGAAGCTTTAGTTAGTTGATTAGGTGAGAAATTGCTGTACTTTGCAGAATTTCATCAAGGCATTACAACTCTTCAATCATCATAAAAAGAGGCAAGCTGAGTCGCATGCATTCAATTAATTGAATAAATCAAACCAGTAATAAGAACTAGCACAAATAGTTACAACGAATGAAAGTAGAGAGGCACAAGAATGATGCTCTACAGTTCAAGGATCAAGACTACTAATGGCTATGGAGTGAAAAAACCCAAGTGACCATAAAAGAGGTAAATATTGCAGGGAAATACCATTAGCAGTAATGGTAAATGTGTGTGTTCATATTCAAGCTCATCCTATCATTATAACACTTTATAATAATTTCTTGAAAAAAAAAACCATCCTATCATTAGGTTAGGAGTGAAGTAATAAAATGCGGAAAGGGCAATCTCAGAATTTATTTTGCCCTGCATCAAGAAAAAAAGCTAAACATGAAAACACATGTGCAGGTTATGTATCTGCAGCATAAAAACAAGTAATTTTGAACTAAGAAAATATTCAAATGCAGGAAACTACAGGGTATGCCAAGACAAAAAGACAGGAAACCTGAGTTTATTTTTTAGCCGTGAGAGTTGGTCTAGTAAAAAGGTCGAGATTATTTTGCTAGTTTTGAGTGTATGGTGATAATGAGATATAGTACTACATGGTTGGCAGCTTTTAGATTGTGGAATTATACTGTTATCACCTCCTTGCAAGTTGAGGGTCCCTCTTGGATGATCAACTTGTCCCATAGATATGCAAATCTCGAAACAGATAGTGATCTGATGAAGATGTCTGCAATTTGATCTTAATAAGCATGATGTTGAGCAGTGACTGCTTGTGACATTATGTAATCACTAATAGAAAGAAGATCTATTTCAAGGTATTTGGTATGATAATGAAACATTAGGTTCTTGGCTAGACAAAATAGCTAATATGTCGTTCAAGTAGAGAGGTGTGGGTAAGAAGGAAAACACTTTTGGGAGAAGATGAAAACAATTAATGTCAACGGTGGTCAATGGAGGAGTAGTAGTTGACTAATTTTAACACATTAGAAGATAAGTGTTTGGTCTGAAAATGTGAAATAGCCCATAACCAATTTACCGTCTTGAGGATCTTTTGCCCAATATAAATCCAAGAAGCGCGTAGAGAGAGTGTCGTGACAAACAGGTTGGCCATATGAAGAGTGTCCTTAATGTAACAAAGCACTCGCTCAATAAGTTGAAAGTGTTGATTGAGAGGTTCATGCATATGTTACCACTTGTAGTTTATTGTGTGGATAGGATTGACTTGGGTAATAGTAAGGTACTCCAGGAGAGTTGCGCGGACAGGTGACTTGGGTAATAGTAAGGTACTCTTAGAGAGTCGTCAAGATAACTCTAAGAGATTCATCAAGATAACAATAAAAATCAATTTTTGGGGAATCGAACACATGCTTGGCAGCAGAGGGAACTTTGAAGGTAATAAGAGTTTGTATGGGTTTACAGCCATGCAATGCCCGAGTGTTTGAGGATGTAAAGCGCATATACTATAACTGATTGAAATGTGCTCCAAAAGTTATCTACCTCGCTTGAAGTCAAAAAAAAGTGGGAAAGATGACCTAAGTTTTTCATGTGAAATATACCAAGTCTTGCAAGAGATCAATCATGGCTAAAGAATTATTATCCGTGAATAAGAAACCATCTACATGGATCAACTTGTAGAGGGTCATGTCTTTTGTTGTTCAGCAACATTGAGGGATTGTTAGTCTAGGATGAGATCTAAGATGCTATAATTGCCTAATGAAGGTTGCAAACCATTGCCGAGGAATGTCGCAGAGTCCATGGATCCCTTTTTGCAAAGGCAGACATTGGTTTTACGGGCCGTGTGAATGGGTGATGGGTCATGTAAATGGTCTCAATAAAATTTTCGTGAAATAAGGATTAGAAACAAGTATGACCAGCCAATTTTGGGTGAGGGTCACTATGAGCAGAACTCACATGGTGGGAATTTTGGCTACAAAACTAAAGATTATATTATGTTAGATACATGTTCCTGCTTGAAGCCTTGAGTGACAAGATGAGACTTATAACAAATTATAGTGTGATCAAGAATTATTTAATTTTACAAGTCCATTTGCAGCCCAAAATATTGTGAGTAGCTGGCGAAGGAATAAGTGTCCAGGTGAAACACCAATTTTTTTTCTTAAGACATGGTGAAACACTATATTTTTTCTTAATGCATGGTGAAACACTATATCTTAATGCATGGAACACTATATCTTAATGCATGGAAGTCTTAAGACATGGTGAAACACCAATTTTTTTTCTTTCACTGTTGCAGAATAGTCGGTCAAGTGAATGGGGGGGACATCTCACCAATTGTCATAAAATGGCCAGCCATGAGAGGTTTGGGTTGATGATTACTTGTGGATAGAGAGGTAATTGAAACAAAAACAAGTGAGAAGGAAGCTGTGCAGGTGTAACAGAGTATGAATTAGATGGGGTTGTTTTGGCTGAGACTGTGAATTGTGAGGTTTGTACAAAAGATGGGGTGTACTGCTAAAGGCAAGATCTAGTGATGCTCGAGGATAGAGGGTTACGATGTGGTGTGAGAAGTTTGTTGAGATAAGATGGCACAATGGTGGTAATGGCATATTTATTGAATATAAAATGGAAGATAACGTATGTTTTGTTGAAGATGGTGCCATGGCAATTGTAGCAATTTTGAGCAATGGCATAACTAAGAAACACGTAACTAGTGGATATAGAAGTTAATTTATTGTTCAAATAGGGATGAATACATAAGAAACATTTGCCAACAAAGATTTTGTGAAGGAAATAGATGGTGGTTTGTTATGCAGTAAATGGTACTGTGAGAGTATATTTTTTGTGGGTGAGCACTACATTTATTGTGCGTGAGTGCAACGTAATGAAGAGGTAGAAAACAACCAAAGTTGTTTACCCACAAGTTTTGAGATAAGTCAGGCCCGAGCAGTGTGATGCACACTTCTTCAATGAAATGGTAGTCAACGAGCTCAATGATACCATCTCACCAATCATAGGAACTAAGCCCTCAAATACTGTATTAAATCAAAAAGGTTGTTAAGCAGATGACATATTTATTTGAATAGTCCGTATATTACTGCATATAGTTTGATCGAAGTCCTTAATAAAGATATATGGTAAGTAACTAACAATTTCAATCCTTAGATTATGTTGAATACTTGCCTTAAAAGAGGATATCACAAGCATCTTAATAGTATTGTGAAGGCCCCTGCATCATCGCTTAAAACCACTAATACTAACAAAACTAAAAGATATCTTACAGCAGAAATGAACATCATCCATTTCACCACACTATATTTAAAAATTAATGAAATTTTCAATGGATAACAAATAGATATTATTTATTTGTGAACAATTAAGATAATTACGGCATACATAGACAAGCAGAACCACCGTAATGAATACATCGTACAACAAATTATATTGCGACAATTTTATTATTTGTCCATTTCAGCCGTTCATTTCAACCAAAAATTACGAAGTCTTCAAAGTTGCAAATACTTCTGAAAGAAGAAATAGACAAAACTAATAATCATCAAAATTTCCTCCATCATTAATGCTCAAATTCAAAAATAAGCATCTAATAATTAGGAGCACCTATAAAAAAAAGGAATACAACATCATTAGCATCAACACCACCACCACCATTTGCATCGTCACAACTATTTCAGATAAGCTTTATGATATGCATTATTCATTTGTTCAATTAGTGTTATACGAGGAATTAAATCTCTTATTCGCAATCATTTGAACAATTTCTATACATATAATCTTAGATCTCCCTTTCCTAGTCCTCTTATAATAATTTTATTTACTAATATAATGGTCACAACCACAACACCCTTCAGAGTGCATTCTAAAATTACCCAATTAATTTGCAATTATAACTTCAAAATTTGTCACTGCAATTGCTCCTTCAATATGATCATTTCTTATTTACAATTTTTTCATTCATCACAATATTGTCATTATTATCATACATAACTTGGAAAACAATGACTTTTTACCATCCAATAATTAGATACATACAAAAACATCATCTTAATTATAATCCAACAGCAACAAACCTTTATCCTACTAAATGGGGTCGGCTACACGAATCCTTTTTCTCCATTGCATCATATTGAGTGTCATACTTTCATTTAATTCGAATAGATTAAGATCATTTTTTTATACAATTTACCCAAGTCTTGATAAGTACACCTCTGTCTTTCTTAACATAAGTCGAATATAAAACATCTACTCTCCTAACAGGATCATCAAATGGTCGACATTTAATAATGACCACATCATCTAAGACGACTCTTTTAAATCTTGTCCGCCACAGGAGCTACACCAACCCTATCACAGATCTATTCATTTTGCATTTCGTCTAAAAGTGTCAAGCCACTCATCCACAAAAACATTCTCATCTCGTCAACACATAATTTTGTTTTATGCTTCTCTTTTAAAGGCCAACATTTTGTGTTATAGAGCATTGCAAGTCTCAACACCATCTTATAAAATTTTCCTTTCAGTCTGAGCAGTACTTTTTATCACACAAAAGGCTCAATGTATTCCTCCTCTTCAACCAACCAACTTGAATTCTACTAATAAAAACCCCATTTATATCACCATAACTTAACTATAAACCTAGAGATATCTAAAACGATCACACCTTTTAATGATTTAATCATGCATAGTTACAACTTTGCCACTAGAGCTACTATTACTAAAATTACATTTCATATTTTCAGTTTTTGATCTATTCAAACGGAGGCCTTTAGGCTCCAATGTAGACCTCCATAGTTCAAGATTTTTCCTGAACTCTTTCTCTAGTCTTCTCTGCAAGAAGAATATCATCGGCAAAAAGCATACACAAGGTACATCCTCTTGTAAATGTCAAGAGCATCCATAACTAACGCACTATGATGTAGACTTAAAGTCGATCTCTGATGTAATCCAACTGAAATAGAAAAATACTTGGTCAATCCTCGTCCTATTCGAACTAAGTAATAACTCTAGTATATATATCTTTGACTTGAATATAAGTTATATCAATGTTTTTCTTCTCTAGAACTCTCCAAAGGACTTGGAACTTTATCATAAGTTTTTTTCAAAATCAATAATAATCATATGTAGATCCTCCCTATTCTCTCTATACTTCTCCATCAAACCTCTCAATGAATGTATGACTTTCATAATAGACTTGTCCAGCATAAATCAAAACTAATTATGAGAAATCTTTAAATCACGTGTTCACTAATGTTCAATTACCATCTCCCATATTTTTAAAGTATGACACATAAACTTAATTCCTCTATAAGTTGCACACTCTAGTGCATCCCCTTTATTCTTAAAAATGGGAACCAAAATACTCTTCCTCCACTCCTCGAGCATCTTTACAATTATTAAAATAATATTAAAGAGTTTAGTAAGCTAAGAAACTCTCAAATCTCCTAAATATTTCCACACTTCAATGGGGATATTATCAAGTCCTACTGATTTTTCACCTTGGTTTCATTAAAGCCTCATCAACTACAAATGCGAAGGAAAAAATAAAATAATTTATTAATATTAAAGCTATTAAGATCACTAAGGTCGACCATACTTTTAGAAAATTTAATGAAAAGTTTATAAAAATAGCCCACTTACCTATGTTGAATATCTTCCTTCAAGAAAACCACTTTTTTGTTTTAATTTTTAATACACTTTACTTGAATTAAATCATTGCTCTTCTTTTCTCATTGTTTGGCTAGTTTATACATATGTTTTCAACCCTCTTTGATATCTAATATATTATAAAAATCACTATAAATAGAATTTTTAATGTCACAAATTATCCTCTTAGATTTCCCTACGGGTCACCTTATATTTTTCTCTATTCTCTAAGCATTTACATTTCAACCTATTTTTATACAATTTCTTATATTTTATCTTTTCCTACACGTTATTATTCCACCACCAACTACCTATGTTGAATATCTTATATTTACATTTCAACCTTATATTTTATCAAAATAGCCTACTTACCTATGTTGAATATCTTCCTCCAAGAAAAGTACTTTTTTTTATTTTCAATTTTAATAAACTTTACATGAATTAAATCTTTTCTTTTCTTTTTGTTTGCCTAGTTTTTACATATGTTTTCAACCCTCTTTAGTATCTAATATATTATAAAGATCACTAAAAGCGAAAATTTTAATGTCACAAATTATTCTCTTGGATTCCCTACGGGCCACTTATATTTTTCTCAGTTCTCTAAGCACTTACATTTCAACCAATTTTTATAACAATTTCTTATTTTTTATCTTTTCTTCCACATTATTATTCCACCACCAACGATTTTTATTTATAAAAAATTTTTCGTTTAATTTTTCAAGTACATCTTTTGTCACTTCTTTAATAGTGTTTGTTACTTTATATCATATAAAATTCATTTCTTTATGAAAATTTCAAATCTTGAAATCTTTAAGTTTACAACTCTTCCAAGGGATGGCCTAACATTTACATAAGAATCTAAAGAATTTATGTCATGATATTTTGACAAATTTTATGTTGATTGTCGACTACCTAATGCAACCCTCCATTTTTTGCATCTGGGCCTTGGGACCCGACATCTTAATTATAATTTTACAAAATTTACCCTTAAACCTACAAAATTTTCCCTTATTACGTAATGCTCCTAATGGACTTCTCTATTTTAACCACTCGGCCTTATCTTTCGAAGTTAAAACATCATCTATACCACTATTCAAATTAATAATAAGTCTAAATTAGTTAAACATACCACTAAGATAATTTTTTTATTATCTTCTGATGATATAGATTGATAATTTTTAATTTCACTCATTAAAATTATAACCATATACCTCACGTTTTTTTTCTATCAAGTCAAATTCGTCTATTTCTAAACATTTTATTTAATAATTTTATATTTAACTTATTTAAGTGAAAATAACCCTAATTATAACTATATCATCTGCAAAAAAATATACAACAAAGGTCGTAACTTCAAAATTCATTTCTAAGCATTTTTACAGCCAACATAAGAGACACGAATTCAATGTTTGTCTATGACATAATAACTGAAAGCTCTTGTATCGCTTCATAACTACTAACATTAGTCAAAGCTCCAACATGTCTTGAATAAGGCCAACATACCTCTAAAAAACATTTTTCTCCTTAATGTGTACCCAATCAATCATCATTGCACTTAATCATATATCTTCAAAATCAATAAAAAATTATATGAAGATTTATCATTTGCTCACTATATTATTCTATTAAATGTCTTAAACAATAAAATTATTTTCAATGTAGATCTTTCTCACATGATATTTGAAACTAAAATAAATTTTTTAAACATATGTTCCACTATTGTGTGCCACAGCTTTATTTCATAATTCATAAGCTAATTAGCACAGATGTTCACAAATTGGCTTATATCTAAGCTACGCTCCCTCATCAAGCAAGCACAAAGAATTTTATTCATCTTATTTGCACATATTTCTGCAAAACGCTTGACATTTTCCAATTGTCTTTACAGAATTGAACATCTCATTGCAAATAGCCTCAGACAACCATACTTGTCTAATTATACAAAACAATTAGCCATCATATTAATGGTTCACTAAGAACCTTGTAACAAAGACCCTCAAAAATTGCATACGCTACATAGGGACAGAAATACAACTTTATAGAGTTCCTTACAGTTGATAAAAAGTAGGATCAGCTTCCTCAAAATATTAATATGGTAAAATAAAAAAGAATATTAACAAAGAAGTATCAGACTACATTCGTAAAATAATAAGTTCACCAATATCATGTCACGGTGAAAAATTTATCCATGACTTAATTATGGATTATCTGTGAATTCATAGTTCGAAACATGGGAAATACCTGGGCAACAAATTTGGTATCGTCACCCCTTCTCTTCACTTTAACCTATAGGCAATTAATTGAATAGAAAAATAATAATAATAAGACACAAAAAGATTATTAAAAATTTAAGACAACAAGGATTAGAAATAGGTGTTTCAAAAAAAAAAAGAAAATGAAATTAATTATTAAAAAAATGTAAGAATATTCAAAAAAGAAGACCCACCCAAGCCACTCTCGCCACCATCAAGCAATTGAAGCATTCAAACCACAAATGGAGCCACTCCCCCTTTGTCTCTCTCCGTTTCTTCATCTTAAGTTTGATTATTAGATCTGGAAATAATCCTATCCATTAAATAAAAAAAAGAACGCTCCCTTTGCCTCCCCAAGAGACTTTGGATCACTAGCTTACCATTTCATTGATTGATCCCTTACTAAAATATAGAGATCTTGTGATGTGATGAAATAGTATTAATTATAAATGATTTGAGACAACAAGGTTGAAAAATAGATGTTCCGAAAAAATGAAAATATGAAATTAATTTTTTTTATCAGACAATTTGAAAGATTCAAAAAAGAAGACCCACCCGCTCCCATCCTCTCACCACCATCATGCAATGTGGAACTCTCAAATAACGAGCAAAACCTCTCCCTCTCTATCTCACTCCATTTCTTCATCTTCCACGAGTAATTTTAACTATTGAATAATGAAATAATCCTCTCATTTTTCAGCCAACAGAAAAAATTGATGTACTTCCTCGCCAAACTACTTCGGATCACAAACATTCCATTTCAATGACTACTTTCTCAGCTAACAAAAGAGACATGGGGGTGTATGCTTATTAAAAATATAATGTAATTTTATTTTGGAAGAATATTGCACTCATGAGAATTAATAAAAGTATGTGTAGTCCAGTTTCTTTTAAAATAAGAAAAGGAACATTGTTAAGTAAACAATTTAAAAGCCAAAATCTATGAAATTATTACGAACTGCATCGGTACCTATTTAAGAAGCCATTCTTCCATAAAACAATAAAAAGAATTTACAAGTAATGGCTACACAAAAAAATTTAAATATTAAATTGAAATTAATTTCTAAAAATAAAACAAAAGGCATTATAGGGTTTGGATGGCTCCACGATAAACGTGCAAAAAAACTACAACTTACATGTTTTGTGTGTGTGTGTGTGTATGCGCGCGCTCGCGTGTGTGTGTGCGTGTGTGTGTGCATAATTCACTAGAAAAGACGCATCTCCAAGCTGATTTTTAAAATAGTTTGCTTCTCTCACACTTCCGCTCATTCGAACAGAAAAATCAAGAGAGCAAAACAGAAGTGAGGGTGACAGAACAAGACAAGGAGAAGCAGACGAAGTCGCGAGTAAGATTAGAAGAAGAAATGTGTGCCCTAGTCGATATGTTAAGAAAAAGAGGAAGAAAAGGAAAATATTTATCATACCGTGCTGATCATGTTGTGTTATGGCTGAAACAGGAAGAAGAAAAGAAGAAATCGAGGAAGAGGAAGGGGATTCGAGCCGCTTACCTAGTCGTTTCCATCCACTGCATGCGATCGAACTGAGGTGAAAGAGTTAGAGCGGCTCTATTGAGTATTGCAAGCAGCAAAGGAATAGATGAAAGAGAAAGAGAAGCTTGTTTGAGTACCTGGAAGGCTGGAACGACTCACCCGAGTGAAAGGAAGAAGGAGAGCTCGATCAGCCTTATTCGAGCAAAAGGAGGGAACCCTGTCGTGAGACTTTTTCCTTACCATGTGAAGCCTTCCGCAATCTTCTGAGCAAGAGAGTTATTTGAGTGCCCAAATTGAACAATTGTAGGAGACGAGCGGATCTGTCGAAGCCACAAGCAGATCCTCCTCTTTAGGGTTACATTTTCTACGCTCGAGAGAAACTCTAAGGAGCTTCTTAAACTCTTAGTAGAAGAACTAGCACGCTCGACCATTGTTACGTGCGAGGGAGAGCACAACCGAGTTGATCTTACTCGGTTCGAAACTTTAAGGCAAGGCAGAGGTTAGTATTAATTGGTTTAATGAAAATTTTAATTATTATCAATTATAATGTTAGGAATATAATTTCTCATTAATTTAATTAACGTTCAAAAAAATCCTAATATTGATTTTTATAATTTTAGGAACTTTAACGAAGAAGCTAAAAGCTGAGAAAGCAAGAGGGGAATTTCATATATGAATGCTTATTTTAATTATTACAAGGTATTGTCATAATTAATTAATAGTAAGAATATTAACTAATTAGTAATTTTAAAAGATAATGTAATTAAGTATGATATAGAATTTTCACTTAGTAAAATAAAGTGATAGAATAGTTTAAAAAAATGTATTAATTAAGTAGTTTTATGGAATACAAATTAGCAATTCAATTAGATGAATTATATGTGTGGTTGTTTAGGTATGCTAGATTTAAGATGAAAAATATCATAGAGGCTAATCAAAATCAATATGCTGGTAGGTTGACCCAAAAGCCTAAATTAATTGAGCAAAGAAACAACAAACTTCAAACGACACAGTTGAGATGGGAAATATGTTTTTATTTTATATTAGTTATGTTGAATTAGACATGTTTTTATTGTTTCCCAACTTTTAGTTTTAAAATGTAAAAGTTCATGTTTTTTTTTAAATGTTAAATGCAAGTTTTCTTTTAAATGTTAAATGCAAGATAACAATGAATAAAATATGATATATGTATGCATATGGGAGTCAGCCCTGAAAGGTAGTGGCAGGTAAATATAATATAACAGTGCACGAAATGAAAAAGCTTGTCTACCTTTATGAAGGGTTGAAAAAGGTTAAACGTATATGTTTATAAAGTATACATTAAACGGTGACTCCCAATTTTCAAAACTGTGACCTAAATATATGAATGGAAATGAAACTGGTTTCTTTACTACTCTCTTTTACTGTACAGTTTTTTTTTACTTTTACTGTTCTTTTACAAAATATTTATAAAATGAAAATTATTGTAATTTAGAAATATTTATTTACTGAGTAGTTTTAACTCAAAACATAATTGCTAACATTATTACAGGAAAATAAGCTGTAGATTAGATGGACCCCACAGAGTGCATGTATAGGCATCGAGGAGTGCAAGATCATCGGTATTGCAGTTTGTTTTATGTTTGAATGTAAATTTTTATAAATGAACAATCTATTGTAAATATAAGTTTTGTGAACTAGAAGGCTCTTTTATGCTTTAGATTTTTATTTTTGTGATAAATGAAACTATTAGATAAAGTTCTTTCGTTAGACTGTCAGTGCCCGCCTTGATAATTCTAAGCTCATCGAGTCGGATCGTGACAAGTTCAACCACCCACGTGTATATATGAAATTAAGATAAATCTTTATAAACAAAACTAAAAAATAATCTTCAAAATTAAAATAAAAAACATTAAATGGTATTGAACAGTCCATGACAATTTTCAAATGAACAACATGCAAGTTAAACCATATATGTGTATATATTAAATAATAAAAAAGTGTCTGCAAGTAAATAACACAAATAAGTTAACTTTAAAGTATGAATACAAAAAAAAAAAAACCAATTACAAAATAATTTTGGTTTAACTTTGAAAAAAAAAAAAAGCCCATGAAATATTAAATCACTAAAAAATGTGTAAGATTTACCCATTTTATTTGATGCCTGAAAAAGTTATAAAAAAAGGGCAAACATAAGCATCTCAAATTAAGCCAATCAAACTTGTTAGAACACAAGCAATGAAAATAAAACATTAAGTCATTTCCAGAATTTGTAACTGGAATAGAACATGTGCTGAAATGAGTTGCTCAACAAATTATATTTGGTCAATCAAATTTGACTGCCTGGCATAAAAGAGGCTAAAGCACGCCAGCGTCAATTCACGTAAGCATCTAAAATTTATGATATCTAAATTCCATGAAAGTCCCATTGAAAGGAAGAGTAGTGACAATCAAATAAAAAAGGTTTGAAAGCTTTACATATGACTAATTTTCCATGGATAACGTCCAACTTGCTCATAGAAAAAAATGTGGAGAGACAAAACACTCTGAGAGTATACTTCACTTCCAGAAGATGGTGCAAAAAGACATTCCAGAGAGAAAAGACAAGGGCATGCACACATGCTGGAGAAAGAGACCACTTCACTATGGTTGAAACTTTATTTATCTACATATTGCATGCCCATCTAGGTGTGTAATTGTATTTTTTCTTGTGTTTCAGCCCGTGTATGACCCGTATCAAAACCAAAATTTAGATTGAAATGCCTTCAACACAATTTTAAAATTATAAGACATTTGACAGAGCGTATCAAAGTTGTGCCTATGTCTAATACCATACCTCATTGTTCAAAGACGCTTAGGTAGGTCCGGCAAATTTCGTCACCCAATGAGTTTGAAATATGTAAATCTCTTACCTATAACTAGTTTGGGATAGAAGGCAATTTATTTCACTATGTTGCAACATAAATTGCCATTTTCTAGGCTTCTCGTTGATCTTGTGTCGTTAAATTATAACTCTCAAATTTTTAATAGAATAAATAACTCAAATCAAATTGATCCCAATCTCAAAACTTTAAATCCAAATCATAATAACACAGCCTTAACCAAATTAGATAAAGGAAATTTCTCACGAAATGTATAAATATTTTTTAAAATTCTTATTTCTACAATTGGCCCATTGTTGAATGGCAGATTCCCCTTTCAAGTTAACATATTATTCTCAATGTCAGTTTATCTTGGTCACAAAAAGCAAGAAGTGTCAAGCTCTATTTCTATTGAACGAGCATTCAACTGGCAAGCTGAAGATCATTTGTGTGAAAAAATTGCTCAAATATTTTATTCAATTGTCCAACTATTTCATTTGTCAATAATCTCAATTATTTTAACACTTTTTCATATCCAGCCAACAACAAAGTTAGTGATTATGCTACTCCAACTATTAATCTTCTCAAGAAGACTTCGTTTCAATTCCCAAAAAAAATGTTAAAAGAATGTTGAAACCTATAAAGAACACTTAAAATGAGAATGGAATCAACATAATTTGTGAAACTTGGATAGAAACACAAAAAATAACATATCATTAGTCTCATGAGCATCCCAAAATCCAGACCTATGTTTTATAAAAGCCATCAACGATGAATAAGCACATACGGATAAATTTTATATTGTCAACCAAATCAAAGAAGCGATTATGGGAGTGAGTGCAAATAAAGTGGTCCAAATAATCACTAACGAAGCATCGATATATAGAACTACATAAACACAGATCAAATCTAAATAACTTTTGGACTATTGTGTTGTTCACACATTGAATCTTATATTGAAAAGTAGTTGTGCTCCAAAGAATATGGAAGATAATGAGAACAATTATGAAGAATGCAATTGGATTAATGATAATTCTAGACATCACAATTTTATCAAGGCCATCATGAATCAATTTTCAATGAGTCCATGCAGTTAAAAATATTAGCTACAACAAGGTTCATTTTGGATAAATAATAATTATGATTTGATGATTTAGAATAATAAAGAAGGCCGATAGATAATATTTATTAGTGACGTGAAGCATGTACCATAAAGATGATGTACATAAGGTGAAACTTGTGGAATCAAAAATTTTAATAAATTGGGGTAGGATAAAATAAATTGTAATATTACTTTTATAGAGAAAATATGTGACATTAAAAGTGGTTGATAAAATTAATTTTATCTTTACCTTGTAAACGATATGTGAAATGTTATGATAGACCAGAAGAAATGAATTACATACAAACATAAGAGAGATAGATGATGAGGATTGTTTAATTTTATAATGTTGTACATAATCTTATATAAAATAAAATAAAAACAACACACTCTTTCTTTCATTGCTGTGCTCACTCTATAAATATAACATAACATTTAATTTCTCATCACTCATAAATTGATAAGATTGCTTATTAGATGTATTCTTTAATCGGATACTACAGTCATTTTTGGCTAAGCAAAGCTTCAAACTACATTGCTCCACATAAACACATGAAGATATCAAATGATATGAACAAATACTTGGAAAGAATTTTTCACGATAGTAAAGAAAAATCAATTGTTAAATTAAAACATGTCAACTTAGTTCGATTCAACAGGTTCCTTTGTTGCTCATGACTCTGTAGTTCGATTCAATAGGTTCCTTTGTTGCTCATGACTCTGTAGCTTCTAAAGGCACTATAAATGGAAAAATTAAGTGGATTATTGATGAAGACAGTTCCCATGACTGCAAAATTTAGCTTTTAACTTATTGGCTCAATGTGGCTCAATCATATTCATCTTATTGCCACAAAAAAATTGGAGCAAATATTTTTGTATTAATTCACTTGAGAAGAGCAAGAACACTCCTCAATAAGGAGAAGGCTCGGTATTCGTGAACGTTAATCTTCATCTTTTATCTAGGAGCCCATAATACATTCAATGGCGAATTAAATTACAGGATAATAGCAGAGATACATTGGCAATGAGGGTAAGATTGGAATACTTCAAATTGTTGATCTCTCTGGATGAGTAGCCTGAAAATTATTTTTTTTCTAGAAAGGTGTTAATGATAAAGGCATACGAGCTAGCAGTAATGATGGCCCTAGCATTGCATCTATTAACTCTAATTTGAGATGATCACATATTCATATTTTGTTGGATTATTTTAAGGTACAACATTTCTTTTGTTTCTTTTTTTTTTTTGTGGGGATGGGGAATTTTTAACATTTTGAAAATAAAACTGATATTGGAACAACATTTGAAAAATTAAAATTATTAATAAATGCTTGTTCAATAAGATATATTTTTTTATTAAAAATATGTTTGACTTTGTTTTTCGTTAAAAAGTTTATTTATAATATTAAACTTCATATTTATTGTCTTTGATAGAGAAAATTAAAAAACTAAATATGTTAAATTAATAATTTATCAAATATAAAATTATATTCATAATGTGTCATGTCCTACTTTCAGTAATTATGTCTCATTGGTGTATTTGTTTGTGTTCATGCTTCAAAGCTTAGATATAATTTCAGTTATTTATAAATATGAAATGTCACTCCAACCATTTCTTTGAAGTAATTACTGTAACTTATCCCCCTAATTTTATCACACATTCATATTTGAACTTATCCCCCTAATTTTATTCACAGTTATTCCAGATCGAAATGGAACTCTGATGGTGAATATGCAAAGAACTTATACTTGGTTTCTGCGACTCTGCACAAACGTTTCTTCCTCCCAATAGAGAGCTTCTGTGTTCAGATTCCCAGGTTTGTTCAAAGTAAGATATTGAAGTACTTGTATACATGTTTTTATAGGCGTCTCAATTATTTAAAAATACAAAGAACTACCGATTGGTGCTTTTATTTAAATCATAGAGCCAAACCATAAAAACATCATAGTAACTTTGTAAATCAAAAAACAACCAGAGAATCTTAAATATATAATTTTATCAGGTACAGAATATTGTCACCGTGAATATGAACTTAGAAATGGAACTTTGAGCGTCATACATATGAATACACACCTGGGTGTCATGTTCAACACAATGGGCATTTGTCAAAAGCTTCCCATTTCCTATCATAAAAGCACTGTAAATACAAGAAAGGTGTTACCCTCTTACAGCAATAGAAAAATGAAAGATTTATATAAAAACCACTCAATTCTCGTGTATTTACATATTTAACACCTAAACTTCAATTTTTACATACATGACCACCCTATGAATGAAAATGTGTACCTCAGTTTTTAAAAGTCAAAACGGTGATATTTTTATGTGATATGAAAGATTTGGGTTTTACAAAGGTAAACATTAAATTTTAGGTGTTACAGAAGATTAAATGTTTGTCTAGCTCTACTTTACTACACAGATGCCAAGTGAAAATAGTAATAGTGAAAAGCGAGAATGCCAAACAACCTTGAATCAGCAAGTTAGTGGTGGCACAATTGCACAAAGGCAAGGATTAAAACTTAACAAAAAATTTCAAGAAGATTATTGGTGAAGGCAGGATTCTTACCACCAACCCTTTAGCCTAGTGTTATCAACAATTTCACAAGAAATAGCTTTCGCATTGCACGAGAATTCATCTAACCATCACATCAACAAGAACCGGGAGTGCATAAAATCAAGGAACTGGTTCATCGAGCCAAACTTCACAATAATAATATTCAATTTAATTTCTTTACGTTTTATTTGTATTTGTAAAAGTTTTTAATGCTGACATCATCATAAGGAAAGTAAGCATTCCTAGTTCACACGTTGGAGCTGATAAATCTAGTCTAAAAGTTTAAATAATGGCCAAGCACCTATAATTATTCATATTTCTTTTCTCATTAAAATGAAGAGATTGTTATCTAAGAAACAGTGAAAAGAATCCAAATCCTTTATCATAATGGATCAATAATGAATTCAAATTTGCATCTTAATGATACTCATATGGATCAATATTATGAATAAAAATAATGAATCAATTTATCTTCCCTATGTAAGAATGAGTAAGAGCTTGAAGCGGATGAGCTACTGCAAAGAAAAAAGAAAGCAACTTACTAGCAAGAGATTTTCCTTGATAATTGAATTAATCATAAAATGTATATGCAGGAGCAAGTCTATAATCAGTTCTGAAAAGGCTTCATAGCATTTTAAAAGACAATTCCATGAGATTGTAAGCTTTGAAAAAGACAAACAATTTCCATCTTAGAATATAGGTTGCCAGGTAACAGTAAGAAGCAAATTCTAACATCGACCCTAAAAAAAATCAAGGAAGATGTACATGCATTCCACTCAATTCTTACGTACTTACACATCTAACACCCAACATCAATTTTTACATATATACCGACTTACCTATGCATGAAAACGTGTATTTCACTTTTTAAAATTAAAATGGCATTCTTTTTTTTATGTGATGTGAAAGATTTGGGTCGTATAAATGTAAAAAATTAAATTATACGTAGTGTTAGATATGTAAATACATAAGAATTAAATGGTATGTATGTAAACGCCCCAAAATCAATAGAAGGCAACTTGGACAATGAATCTAAGATATTTCCCCGAATGATATGAAAAGCCAAATGGGATTTATTTAGTTTTGAGGGATCAAGTTTACCATGAAAGCAAGTCCTCAAGATTTATTATATTTTGGGTATTTTACTCGAGGACACTCTCACTAAAGGGATTACTCACTAAAGGGATTAAAGCCGCATTCTTGATTTAGCAGAGTGCAAAGTTCAAGCTCAATTAAGATTAGAAGGGGTAAGATAGCGAAGTGACTAGGATTTCAAGACCTTGTTAAACGAGTTCAGGTGTCTTCTCTTACGATGTCCAAGTGATACTATGTCAATTGGACCGGGCAAAAAGAAGCAATGAGAATGCACAAAACTCTTAACATCCCTCAGAGAGGGATTACAAACAGAAAGTGGACAAAATAGGTTGCAACAACCTAAAGGACAGCACCAAAGATATGGGTATTATCATCATCAAAAGGATTGTAGAAAAAAGGAAGATGGCTCTGTCAATTATAATGAAGACTAAAGGAATGAACCCAAATTATCAGACATACTTTTTCTTAACAACTAGGTGGAAAATGTCAATTTTAGGCCCACAAAATCTTAAAGGGATAATTGTCCTCATGAGTGAAGAGTAAGTGGGATTTATAAGAACAACTAGATGGAGTTGCCCTAATCGGATATGGTATTACAACCTCAGATAAAATTCCTCTTGAATCTAATGCGATTAAAGAAATACATGGGACAATTTTTTCACCAACGGGTAAGATGCCCACAAAGAGACTTAAAACCCAAGCATGGCAGATTAAGAAGCCCAAAGACTGGTCATACATCCTCTAGATGGGAATGCCACTAAACTACACAAGTTTTACATACATGCTAACTCTAGATACAATGCAAGGTAAATTGACTGGCAAGGAAGGAAAAGGGGCTAATGACATTGTCGAATAGGTGATATGGCCTAACAAGAAAATGATGATTGACATATCAAACTAGACTGCATGCAAACATAGCACAGGATTTTACATGATTATGCAAAGGCATTCAACGATATGCTCGTCTATAAAACAAGGTGCATAGCTTTAGCTAATGCATATTTGTGTTGTATCTGACGCATGGTACTCAACAACTTAATCGGCCCTTTAACATTACAGATTGGGCAAATATTCCTCTTTATAATTTCATAAAAAAATTGAGTGACCAAAGAATTTAACAAAGTTTTAAAGACCAATTTTATGTTTGGGCAAAAAATTTAACCAATGAGCCTAAAAGAATATCCAAAACATCTAGAGCATTGCAGGTAATGTATAAAAATAGAAATAAATCTCCAGGCTTTGTTAGGATGTCAAGAAAAGAAAGCACGCATAAGGTTGGAGGAGAGAGCATCAAAGAATACAGATCGTCACCAACTCAAACTCTCTGTCCTATAACTCTAGAGATTAGCCCCCAACAGTATAAAGTATAGCATTACAAAACAGCAAAGAATAATTTATTAGATTAAAGAGGGCAACTTAATTGACATGTTAATAAAATATTTTATTACAATCTTGAAAGAAACCCCTAGATGCCCATACATCGATAAGAGAAAATGGAATACATTCTAGGAAAAATCTAGGTGTGAAATGCAAGGGTGTCTGTGTGTATAAATTGAAAAATGTCAATACGCATTAAAAAGAAACTTATTTTCTTTCCTCATAATATATTTCACTAATCGTGTTTCCTTTATTAGATTTTTTTTTCCTACTTATTTTTTATTTTGGAGGGATTTCTAATTGGTATACTTGACATGATTTACACTCAGTTCCAATGCAAAATTAGATTGTCAAAATTGATATGCAAAGGAATACTTCAACTTCACCTTTGGACCCTACCTTGCAAAGAATGGTATCATCCATGTTAATTATTGTATTAAAACTCCAGAACAAAATGGGATAGCTGAGAGAAAGAATAGGCAACTCCTTGAGGTATCTTGATCTATAATGCCCTCTCACAGTGTCCCAAAAATTTTCAATGCTTACGGTCGCCTATTTCATTAATAGAATGCCAAGCAGGGACCTTGGATTCAAAGTCTTCTCTAGTTTTTTAATGGAAATATATCTTCATGATAGAGTCTTCTCATTCAATCTTCATCTAAAAATATTTGGTTATCTCTTTTGTACACATTCACCAACCAAAATGCATAAAGCTTGACCTAAAATCCATCAAATGTATCTTCCTTGGTTATGCCTCTAACAAAAAAAGAGTAAAGTGTTATCCTCTCATTGCTAAAAAATACTATAACTTCTTGGATGTTATATTTTTTGAAAAATAATCCTACTACCTCAGATTTGAAATTCATAGGAAGAGTCTGCGTGAATATCAGATTTGAAACACTACTCTAGATAACCACACTAAATTAGAATCACCACAACCTATTCTACTTCCTTCTAAGCATCTTGTCTCCTAAGTTCTGCCACTTGAGGATCCAACCTGAGATTAACAATAAGGAACTTCGTCTATAAACTAAGGGCCCGTTTGGGGCAGCTTATAAGTGCGGCGGCATTTTCAAAAACGTCACTGTACTGTTTGTTTCTCACGTTTTACGGGTGTTTCCAAAAACGTGATTTTTATTTTGTGAATAACGTCGCCCGCGGGATCATCCTTGCGGGCGGCGTTCCCTTGTCGCGTTTTGTCCATAATTACTCCCCTGCTCTGGAATCTCGCGATCGCCCTCTGCCTCGCAATCGAGCTCAAAGAGCCGCTTCTTCGGCACTCCTTCTCTTCGCGTTCCTTCGGCACTGCTCTTCTGTTTGGAGCATGCGAGGCATCCTCTCTCCTTTAAAAAACTCTACCAGTTCTGCTTTCCCAATCTCCTCCCTCCTCTCTTCGAGGCAATTCGCTAGGGCTTTTGTCGAGGTTGTGAGGTTACAGGATTCTACTCCATGAATCCAGAATAGTAAGCTCTCATGTCTGTTTGACTCTTGGTTTCAAGGATTAGCTCTTGTTGGCCTAGGTTTTCTTCTCTTGCTCAATGTCCTCACCGCTTGCTATTCCTCTGCGATTTCCCTTTTGTTTATGAAGGGATGAATTTGGTTTTGATGTATAAATGTTGTTGATTAGGCGTGTTTTTTGGTAAGGCTACCCCTGTCGGCTGCATCCTTTTTTTTTTGTTCGATGGGTTTGCTTGTTGCGTTTCTTTGCTATTACAAACATGTTTCTTGCTTGTCGTGGATGAGAGATTCCATCGAATGAATCCTTTAACTACTGCGGGAGGTTTATCATCTAACCAACACCGAGGAGTTTTTTTTTTTTTTGGCTACTTTGATGATGCTAGCTATTTGTTGGGGTGTTGTTTCCAAGACTGCTAGTTAATTGATAGAAATGTTTGGCTTACCTTATTAGCTTCTTATTTTATAGATGCTTCATGGTGAGCAGGTTAGACAGTTAAAGGTTTAAGAGCAAGTTCATTGAGATTTTTAGCCTAAGATAAGACTACTGATTGTAACATTTTAGATGTTATTATGCTTTTAGTTTAGAATTATCTCAATGTTATAAGCTAAAACATATGTACCAATTCTCCATTCTAAATTGTAGCATAAAGCATTTG